TCCTGCCTTTATGATTTCATTAGCAAGCATGTCTCTGTTTATGTAAAATAAAAAAGGAATTTTTAAAGAAGGCTTTTCTGACCTAAAGGTCTTAATCAAGATGACTTGGGGCCCACAATCTAAAGAATCTTCATTTTTCTTTTGACGGGGAAGGATAGAAACTCCCCTTTCATGCTAAGTGAGCACAAAGTGTTTGTCCCATTAAATGGCATGGGAATCCTAAAATGTTAAGTAAAAGATAACCATCTCATTTCCAAAAGACAATTAATTTTCAACAGTTTGATGGCTACTCCCCCAGATCACAACATGACTGTCCGACAACTCAAGTGTTTCCTGGGTATTTATCACAGCTGCTAGCACTTGCTTTAATTCCTAAATCAGGAGTCTGAATTCACCACTGTGGAAGATGGATGCTAGTGGACACAGCTCACTGAGCCAGGTGTGGGCCGGTGCAGGGCCCAGTCCTCGGGCTGCTGAGCCAACGTGGGCCTTGTACACTCGTCACAGGGGCTGGTCTTCTCTCTAGGAGGGACAGCTCCTGATTCCATAACTTCACACTCCGCTAGCAGTTGGACGGTACAGTGGCCCACTGCAGTCACTCAGGTTCCAGAGGCTAGGAGGGTAGGTAAAGGGGCAAAGAAAGAGGCCCTAGTCACAGCAACCCTTTTCCAGGCTGCCCGCCCACAGCACCCTGATCAGAGGGAGCCTCAACACCTCCTTGGGCTGGTTTGGTATTTCCACTAAAAGAAGCTTTTCAACCCCAGGCTTCTCCCCACTCTCCTCTCACCCGTCCCCTAGGTTGCTTCCCTGCCCTTCCCCCAGCCCTCAGCTCCCCGTCTTCACTGCTTTCTTCCTTCTGGGTACTTCCAGGCCAGCCCCGCTCCCTCCGGGACAGACACCGGATTTCTCTGCCCTCCTTGGCATCTTTCGTCCTCTGCTTTTTCTTTTCATTTCCTCTCCTTTTTCCGAGATCTGCAGCCTGCAGTCCCCTTCTCAGCATTTTCTTTAATCCTTCCACGAGCACTTCTCCATGGCGCCCATCTCTTCGTTTCATAATGCCAACTCTCCATGCTGACCTCCTAGAGGAGGAAAGCCCAAACCTGTTGGCTCTGTGCTTGTTTTTATGTTCACAGTCAGCTGGCCAACCTTGGGACAGTATGAAACAGTTTCCAGTACACACACACACACACACACACACACACACACATACTCTTTCCTTCAGCAGTCTTCATCTAAGTCTCAAAACCAGAGCCCCTATTTTACTCTTCTTTCAAAAAATATTTATTGAGAACCTGCTACATGCCAGGCACTATTCTAGATACTGGGGGTAGAGCAGTGAACAAAACAGATAAAAATCTCTACCCTTGTGAAGCATGCCGTGTAGAGGGTGTGGAGGTCAGGAGTATGAGAGAGGAGAGCTCCAGAAAGAGGGGAAAGTAAGTACAAAGGTCCTGAGGCAGGAGCGTGTTTAGTATGTTCAGGGAACACCTTAGAGTAAAGCTTCCCTGAGGCAAGGCTGGCTGGGTCCCCTCAGCTACAGATGTATACATGTGGCTCCCTTCCCTGTGGACTGGACTCTGGTTTTCCTCGGTGCTGTCACTGTGCCCTCCTCAGGAGGTAGGTGTGACCACAGATTAGCAGGTGACCACCTCTTACCCATATCCTCACTAAGGACTGGATGATTGGTCACAAGAGGACCCAGATGCTTCAAATTCCTCAGCTCCCACATGAATGTGACAAGCAGTGGGGAGATGAGAGAGGAAGAGAGAGGAATTTATAAACTCTTCAACACGGTACCCTTCTGGAGGACGCCGGCCCTTCTGGAAACCTCCATGTGTGAAAAGGAGTCGTCGGTAAGGTAGCAGAGACTCGGCACGGAGGAACCTGGGCTGGAACACGCCGTGTTACGTGCTCTGTGACCTGCGCAGGCAGGAAGCCTGAGGAGTGCTGCTCCAGGACACCAGGTGATGGTTCAGTGGCCCAGTTCTTCAAGTTCAACAGCCAGCGGCCAGCAGCAGCCCAGAGGGAGGAGGGATGTGCAGGAGGCCCATGGGACTTGTTCTCCTGGGCCCTGGGATGGAGAAGAGCTAGAGGAGCAGTCCAGCAGGGGGCCAAGTGCCACGGAGCCGAGTGCTACCATGCTCTGTGCCCACCAGGCTCTGCACAGTACCAGGAGTGAGTGGAACAGAACCTTGGTCCCCGAGCTTTGTTTAACAAGAACAAAGGCAGCACAAGGAAACGTTATTGTGTGGTGAGCTCTGTGCACACATACACACCCCAAGGAGCCATCACTCCCAGCTGGGCATTCCGCTCCTGCCAGTGTGTGTTCACCAGCCACAGGATCAAAAAGATTGTTCTCACATCATGAAGAGACAGAAGGAGGCAAGCTTAACCGGGGCTTAGGCTTCAATTATATTTCCTTGCGAGCAGGCACAAAAAGTCTTACGTCATTTTACTCAGTTCGCAAGCCTCCCAGGGATTCCCTTTCTTTTCCCCTTCTTTTCATCCTCCACTTGCCTGAGCCTGAGCTGTGTGGAAGCCACCTGCCTCCTTCCGCATGAAGCAGCCCTGAATGGTAAAAGGGCACCCCCGCACCAGCATCGGTGGTGTAAACGCAGTTTTCAAGTGACTTTCCTTTGTAGTAACTCCTCTGTCGCCATCAAAGAGCTCCCTGAGAGTCATCAAATGTGAAAACAGAAAGATTACAACCCACATTCTTTTTGTCACATGAGCATTGCTACAAAACGTCACTCTTTATGCTCACGACACGAGAGGGGTCCTGTCCTATAATTGGCTTGTTGTATGCTCCCTGACGCCCAGAGTCCTTCCTGTCATTCGGAGGAAATGAAGATGTAAGCTTTCCTGTCATCCTGTGGCTGTCCCTAAGGAAAAAGGTCGGGGGATGAGAGGCAGGAAGGCTGTAAACAAAGGAAATAAACAAGGTCTCCATTGAATCAAAGAGAAATACTTGCGATGTGTAGATTTAGGATGTTGGAAAGGGGTGGCAGATTTTATTTGATTTTATCTTATTTTACTTTATCTTAAGGCCAAGAAACCTGTGCTTTCTACAAGATTCTCGTTCTGTTCTAGCATACTGCTCACTAGACCTCTTGGACCCCGGAGGCCTCCTTTATTTTTGCTTGAACCCTATCAAGTTGTGTCCCATTTCTGTATTCACCTAAGAAGGCCCCTCCCAGGGTTAGGAGGGTGTCTTGGAAGGGAGGGGGGTTTCTGAGCTTCCTCAGTCCCTAGAGACCTGCCACCTGCGTAAGCCCCAGGAGCCACAGGCCCTGGAAGGGGTCGACTAAAACCTTGGGTCTCTTACTGAACTGAAGCCCCTCCCAACTTCCTTTCCTGAATCTTGTGAGCAAATACAGTTGCCTGACACAGTTCTCTGTGTCAGCTCAAAACCCCAAAGTAGGAAAGTACTTTGCACTATTATCCATTCCTCACAAGAGCCCCGTGAGTCTGGCCTCAAGGGGTCACCAGGTATTTTACAAGGGCGCTTGGCCTAGCGCACGGACTAACTTAGAGGCACAGCTTCTAGACCCTAAGCCACTAGACCCAGGATTTTCACCACTAAGTTTGTCCTTTCCTTGTCTTCAAATAGGCTTAAAAGAAAAATAGAATTTAATTAGTTATGGTACAAGTATTGCAAGGAAGAATGCAACCAAGTATTCCCTAACTAGACTGCCGTTTCTTTTAAGAGGGCCCCTGAGGCCTCTTCCAGCTGAGATTGATTGGATAAGCCACGGCTGGCTTAGACTAAATGAGGAAAACCCAGCCCAAGACTTGTTTAACTGGCTCTCAGTTTTCCCTAAAGCTTTCTCTTGCCCAGGGCATCAAGCATCAAGCTTTAGACAGTGTGGAAAATAGATTAAAAAAAAAAAAAAGTGGGACCCAAGGACCTGCCCCCACCTACTTCTGACACAACCCCCAAGCCCTTGAATGAGTCATGTAGCCGACTGAGCAGTCACACGGGAAGATGGTGCCAGGTGTGCACCTGCGCAGGTCAGCGCAGGGCTGTGGAGTGACTGGGCTCTAGGATCACGAGGCAGAGCTCTACCCCTTCCCTGTGTGTGCTCCCCTGGACCTGGCAGCCCTGGGCCTTTTCTCCACCTCACTGGTTTATTGTGAAGAGCAGGTCAGACGCTATGTGTGCAAGCCCCCCCACTCCCCTCCCCCACAGGCATCGGTACTCTTTTTAGGTTAGGTTCATCCAAAGATGAGCTCACATGTGACCCGGATGACACCCGGTGGCCCTATGCTCACCCCGCCAGCCACCATTTATCCTTGGCCTTGCTTCTTCTGCCCGCAGGTACCTGGCGCTCTATGCCTACAAGCCCCAGAAGAATGACGAGCTGGAGCTGCGCAAGGGTGAGATGTACCGTGTCCTTGAAAAGTGTCAGGACGGCTGGTTCAAGGGGACATCGCTGAGGACTGGGCTCTCCGGGGTATTCCCAGGAAACTACGTGACGCCTGCCTCCAGGTGAGTCCATAGTCACTGCCTGGGAGAGGAGGGAGAATACCCCCCACATTCCCCTGTAGCTGTCGCCACCGCCTGGAGGTCATGTCGTGTCTCGGCCACCCAAAAACACAGTTCAGAAGGCAGCCAGGGCACGCCTACCTGTGGGGTTCAGCCCTGTGAGCTTGGAGTCCTCTTGAACAAGGGTTCTACGTAGCAAGCATTTCACCTTCTAGATTTGGTTTGCTGGTCTTTCCCCGAGCACACCCTGGCTACCGAGGGGAGAGGATGGGAACAGAACGAGCTGGAGTCAGGGCAGCAGCACTCAGTGGGGATGGGAAGTCGCCAAGAGGAACAGGATCTCAAGAGTGTGCACGTGCGAGTGGGTGTGGGTGTGGTGGTGTGGGCCTGTGTACAGTGTGAGTGCAGCGGTGTGCATGTGTGCAATCACATAAAGACCTGCTCTACACGAAACACGCACATATGCATATATGCAAAGGAAAAATGACAGAGTCTCAAAAGTTAATTGTTATGAAGAGGTAGCATTACGGTAATTTAAATTTTTTGTTTTCTCCCTTGTGCTTTCCTGTGTTTTACAAATTTTCTGTTATATTAGTTTTATAAAAGAGAAAAAGCAACTTTAAAAATTCACTAAAAATCCAGAGTTGTCTGAGAATTTTCCATTGAGATGAGGGGTCCGCTGCTTGGTTTTATTTCCGTCAGTCTTACTCGTGGAAGCCCTTTATGGGTATAGCGCTGTGTTAACACTCCAGGACATGCAAATCAAGTGCAGACATGGCCCTTGGGTATATGCTATCTTTGGAGCAAGACTGCTGTGAAAAACTTTAAATGACGCTTAGACCTTGCATTGATGGCCAAGCTGATCCGTACTTCTCAAAGCAGCCGAGGGATGGTGCTGGCCGGAAGGTGGGCTCATGCCTCGGGTCATATGATGGCCCTTCCTGGGAAATCTCTTAATTTGTGAGCCCACTTTATTTAATTTTTAAAAATTGTTTCCTAGGGTAAAAGTGAATTCAACAGGTAGCAGATGTAATAAAAAATATTTCATGGCTTTGGTAGTCCGCTGATAGAGCTTCTTGCTAGAATTTCAGGACAGCTCTAAGGGCTACAGGAAGAAGGTGCTGCCCCTGGTCCCTGGACAGCCGTGTTCATTTCCCCACAGCTGTTCTGCAGAAGCCTGAATGGCTGCTGCAAGGGCTCTTCCCATATGAAGTCACAACTCACTGGTACCAAGCCACACAGAGAGGGGGCCCTCTGACCTGGGAGGAGCTATGGGCCTGGCCGTGCCTGTTGTCTCCCACCTGTGGTTTCTGGTATCTCACGACTGAGATCCCGAGGGGACAACGAGGGAGTTTGCTGAGCTCAAGGCTAACGGAAGACATTCTGATCCTCTGAAACTGAACCCATAGAAGCCTTCAAGCCCCTGTCTCTGCCGTATTCTACACCCCCTCTTTCCATAGCCAGTCCATGGCTTTAGTGCAAATACGTGTATTGTGAAAGAGTGAAAAGCCCATTTTCCAAGTTGCTGTTTTCCTTTTATATTTCTTAAACGCTACACTAGTTTCGCCTGGAAACCTTGGGGTGAAAGGGCATCTGTTTTCTGGGGTGAGACTGCACATTCCCAGACATCCCTCAGCAGGACGTAGTTTGTGCCCTTTCCCCGAGGCTGGCAGAAGCAAGGAGGCAGCCGTGTCCAGAGGGAGTGGGCTCTTGCCACAGCTTCCTGCCACGCGCCATATGTGTCCAAGCCTCTTGGGATGGGACTGAGTCATGCATTCTTTCTGGATGTGTTTGGAGACACACAGCTGTTTGTTAGAATGAGTTAAAGCAGTAGCTCTGGTAGAAAATATTTCATTGATTGGAATCATTCCTGTTTCTTAGGGTTCTTTTGCCAGTTCTTGAATGTTTACATTGAGAGGTCGCCTCTATGAAGGTTTTATAAAGGGTGCCCTTCTCAGCTGGTGCTCTGGCCCTTGTTTGCGTACAAGGATTATCTTGGTGTTGTTTTTGGGATTTGCCTCCTGGACTGCATTGCCTTCACCTCTTGGAGCCAGTATGTAGGAGCCGGCCTCTATCAGTGGCTTGTGTGGTGTGGTTTCATCTGCACTCTCACCAAATTCATTCTGCTTTATTTCCTCAGGGCTCCCTTAGGAGGGCCAGGGCCAACCCGGAATAATGTGGCTGGAGGGTCTCCACTGGCCAAAGGGATGGCTACAACCATGCACCCAGGCGGTGGCAGCCTGAGCAGCCCTGCCACTGCCACGAGGCCCGCCCTTCCCCTCACCACACCCCAGGCCCAGGCCCAGCACCAGGCAGCCTCTCCCCCAATGAGCAGCTGTCTGCGGCACTCAGTCCAGCCGGTGGCCAGCCAAGCCCGGAGCACTGTCCCCACAGGTATGTACCAGGCGCTCGGGCACCTTGCTCCTCCAGAAAATTTGACAGGGGGGTAGGGTCTTGGGTATACAAATCGTAGAAACACTCTGGCCCAGGTCTCGAGCAGTGCATGGTGGGAAGCAGGGGTGGAGTGGAGTGGGGGGAGTTGTATTTGCTTATAATAATCATCAACCTCTGCTGATCTCCAGGAAATTTATTGACTTTTCATATTACCCTATCCTGACAGCCGAAACGGATTAGAGAATTTACAGATATTTATACCTTTCACATAGCAAGAGGACTGCATGGACTAATAAGATTAACAGTGGCACCTTTGGATGCCCCTATGAGGGTATGAGGCAGCTGTGGGTTGGCCTCATAGGCCTTCTGTGTGCTGGGTACTTACCGGTTTCCCAATTAGGCAGCACCTCACAGGACAGGGCTGCTGAGGACACACAGATCCAGCCTATCTATCCCCTTTCTGAAAAGCTCTGAGGCCAGAAGGAGTAATGGCCATTGATCCTTCACTTTCATGCCAGCATCATCAATAGTCAGGCTGACATAATTTAAGGAAAAACAGTTTGCTCCCAGCGTGGTGTAAAATGAAGAGAAATTATGGGGTGGATCTTACAGGCATGAAGATCCTTGTTTGGAAGCTTAGCGCTGAGCTAATAAGTACTGGAGCCTGACTCAGGTGACACCCTCAGGAGCTCACACCAGTAACCTTCTGAAACCATAGAGCCAGCCACATTGTTACCATGCAACGAAAGGAACCCAGGACGGAAGAATGCAGCTCTGAATTTCCTTTATGCGACACAGAATTCCTTTTCCCACCCCGACCTTATTCTCTCAGAAATCATCTCCCGTCTTCTCAAAGTAAAGCTTAAAGGACAAAAAGAATGTAAATTCTTTGGAGCAATAAAATACACTACTTTTTAGAATCTGATCCACCAGAAAACGATTCATTAGAAGTACTCCAGAAAGCAGCCTCTTGATGGTGAAAAGTCGAGGTAATACTTAGCGCAGCGAGGGGCCATATTTCCTCCCGAGGAATGGCTGATGGGACAAAAGGGTGGGAGGTAGAGATGTCCACTCGCCCCCTGGTTACCCTTTGGGGAAGGTCACCTATACCTTCCCATGCTGATGCCAACCTGGGCTTACAGGTGTCAGGGGGTCCCTGAATGTGATACAAACCAGCTTGAGTCAGCATCTTCTCTAACAAAACAGGACACGTCCCTGCTGCCAGCTCCCTGCTCTCACAGGCTGCCTGCTAGGAGGGCTGTGGGTGCTATGGAGGAGGGCCTGATGTGGGGCGCTTGGTGATGGGGGCTGAGAGAATGGAAAAGGCTCCTCAGAAGAGGTTGATCCCAGAACGAGCAGCAAAGTAACACTCAGGTAGGGAAACAAATAAGGGCTCCGTTTGCAGCAGGAGGAAAGGAATAGTCAAATGTCGGAGAAAGCACAGTCTTATCAACCAGCTGCAAGCAGTTCAGTAAAGACAGCTGATGGAGGCCTGGTTGAAGGCGAGAGCTTGGGAAGCAGGCAGACCTACTTTGAATGCTGGGGCTGCTGTTACTGCTGTGGCCTCAGTGTCTTCCTCTGTAAGATGGCATGATAGTCAAACAAGTAAACATAGAATCTGGGGGTTGAATTCTCTTTTGAAGGCAGTGGGGACCCACCATGGGATTTAAAGTCAGAGGGATGACACTTGACCAGATACCACCAGGCACAGCAGGGAGAAGGGGTGGTGTGGGACAGCTTGGGGCCAGGAGCCAGGAGACAGGGCCTGTTCTGCCGAGGTGACCATGGGCCTGGACCCAGTGAGTGGTGTTGCAGAATTGGAAGAAAATATTGAGATATTTAGGGGGAAAAACAGTTACAACTTGGAGATGATTTTGATGTAAGTGCTCAAGGAGAACGAGGAACCAACGCCAGTTTCCAGGTTTCTGGAACCAGCTGACCGGGACAATGACGATGGCATCCCCCTGACATAGAAGAGACCAGAAGGGGACTGGTTTATGGGGGAAGATAATGACCTGTGGCTTTGAGAGGTGCTGGTCACACTATGGCCCACTGGCTGATTCAGAGCAGCCTCCCTAAGTGGGGCTCACATCCCATGTACAAATCCCGCTTGCTATGGTGGAAGGCAGACGTTCAGCCTGCCTTGCAGATAAGGTGCAGACACATGACCTAGACTCAGCACCGTCTTCCATTCAGAAGACAAAAACATGAGAGGCCACGTGGATCCCTTTTGGGGGTAAGGGTGGTGGTGAAAACATCCAGGGGCTTTTCAGGGGCAGCAGGGCAGTGCCTGAGCATCAGTAGGTACAGGGTGGACTCCTGACGCCCGGTGTCCGGCCTCATGTTGGATGGTGTCCGTGTCCAGCAGCTGTGGGAAATGCATCGGGGAAGCCTCATGGTTGGGCCTGGCACTTCCTGGCTGTAGAGCCTCAAAGACTGACTCTGTCACCTCAGAGACGCTGTAAGTGCCAAGTAGTCTTTCATATGTATCCTTTTTTTCTTTAAATTAGCCGCGAGTGAGTTCTGTGTTTTTGCAGCTTTAGCCTACAGGGCCCTAGGGAAGACCTAGCTGTCTTTGTACTGAAAGAGCCTGCAACAATAGCGTCTGGTGCCAGACTTCTTGCCCCCAGCCATTACTTTCTTATTAGCTGTGCTTCTAGCCTAGCTTAAGTTCACCTGACAGTGTTTTCTGGGAGCCTCTAGCTGGGGACATGGCCCTTGTGGTAGCCAAGTGATCAAGCAAACCCACAGCAGAGCTTCTGACTGGTACCCCACACCAAAATACTGATCTTGACCCTTGGAGCACCCGGGCATGATCTGGGGCACCTAACGTCTCAAACCAGGTCCCTTCCAGTTATAAACATCTCATCCATTCACCCCAGCATGCCACGCCAACATTTGTAAGTGCACCATGACATAGAAAGATCCGGCAGCGCTGCTTCTCTCCAAGAGTTCACATCCCACCCAGTACAGCAGCCCTGGGTTATCTGCACAAGATGCCAGTGTAACGGCCTTTCCATGCCACAGCTTGCTAGCAACTTTCCAATTCAGTGAAGAAAATGAGGCCTGCCAGTCATTTCTCCCTGTATGGAATAACAAGCAGAATCAGAAGAAATTGGCATGGCCAGGGGCACTGCAACATTGTGCCTCAGTCATAGATCACCATAGTAACCACTGTGGTGTGACAAGCATTCTCTTTCATCAGTTTAATTTTACATATGGGAAGAATGAGGCACGGGGTGGTTAAAAGGGCTTCCCCAGTGCATTCCAACCTAATGCTTGTCCCCACACTATTGCTGTCACAGCCAGGTTAAAGAATGGCTTCGACCATGTCATATCAGTAAATTAAATGCCACTGAGTTCCCACAGCATTTTCCACTTCACTCTGCATTTCGAGAGAGAGAAAACACTGTTGACAGTACAAGTAATGGATTGTTCACAGCAGTAATTGCCCATTTCAGCAGACCCCAACCCAGGCAGTTGAGAGCATTTCATCAATGTTCTCATCTCGAGCCAAAGTCAGGCAGTTTGACAAAGGCTTAATTGCATTGGCCAGAGCACCCAATATGATTTGTTCTACTTGATTAATGTAGCTCTTTTTTTCCAAGGGCAGAGCTCTCCCTGTAAAGTACCAGTGTCCACACATCCTCCTATCAGTGCATAGCAGGGGCGAGAGCCCTATACAGTCATATATTCATCAGCAATGGCACAGAAAGAGAGCTTGATACGCACAAGGCACTCTGCTAGGGTCTGAAAATGCAAAGAAGGATCAAACAGACCCCATTTCTACCCCCAATTAGAGAAAAGAGCGAGAAAACAAGCTCTTTTCAATAGATTTTGAAAAGCACTGTGGTGGAGGCATACATGGGGTATTAAGACAACATGGAGGAGAGATATTGCACTCAGATTGGGAGGAACGTAGGACAGGGATAGGGAGAGGTTTATGGAAAGTGTTCAAGAGTAAGTGATGCTGCCTTGATTCGTAAAGGTCAAGTAGGAGTTCTCTGAGCAGACAAAGCAGGAAGAGAGTTCTGACAGAGGGACTAGCAAGGGCACAGGCATGATCATGAGAATGCCCGGAGTCCCCATTGTTGGTAATCTCATTTGGCTTGATGTGGCGGAAACCAAAGGTATGGGAGGAGAAGTATAGTATGCTGATGACAGTTTCTCTGCCTAGACAAAACTTACTTTTAGATCTCAAAAATGAGTAGAACTTAGCATGCAGCAGTGGGGCAAGGTGAGAATGAGGCTAGCACAGGACTGGTGCATTTGAAAACTAAAATCAGGTCACTGGCAAAGAACAAAGAAAGCAAGAGAATGCGTACCTTGTGGTGAAGCTGAAAAGGTGCACAGGAGCAGATCATGAAGGTTCTTTTAGACCATGTCAAGAAATGTCAGTTTTTATCCTAAGGGCAAAGGAGCATGTTAGAGGGTTTTAAATAATAGATGTAACCAGAGTTTTGTATCTAAAACGATAAAGCTAGACTCTTTTTTACTTTCATTTATTTTTATTTTTTATTAAAGTATAGTTGACATACAATATTATATTATTTTCAGGTGTACAACATAGTGATTCAATGTTTGTATTTCTTACATTGTGATCAGCACGATAAGTCTAGTAACTATCTGTCACCATACAAAGTGATTACGATAGAATTGACTGTTTTCCCTACATTGTACATTACATCCCTGTGACTATTCTTTTTATAAGAGGAAGTTTGTACCTTTTATTCCCCTTCACCTTACTCACCCATCTCCCCATCCCTCTCCCCTCTGGCCACCATCAGCTTTTTCTCTGAGTCTGTTTCTATTTTATTTTGTTTACTCATTTGTTTTGTGTGTTTAGATTCCACATATAAGTGAAATCATTTGGTATTTGTCTTTCTCTGTCTGACTTATTTCACTTAGCATAATATCCTCTAGGTCCATCCATGTTGTCCCAAATGTCAATATTTCATTCTTTTTTATGACTGAGTAGTATTCTGTTGTATATATTGTATGTATACCACATCTTCTTTATCCATTTCTCTATTGATGAACACCTAGGTTGCTTTCATCTTAGCTATTGCAAGTAATGCTGCAATTAACATGGAGGTACATATTATCTTTTCAAATTAGTGTTTTTGTTTTCTTTGGATAAATACCCAGAAGTGGAATTGCTGGGTGGTATAAAAGCTAAACTTCAGCTGATGGCCAAGGTAAAGTAATGAGGACAGGATTTACCCTCCCACCAGAAACATCTAAAAAAAAAATAAAAGATAAATTTATAAAACAATAGTTTGTGACACACTAGATATTAGAAAACCAAAGACCTCTATGAGAAGCAGTGAACAAAGAGATAGGCCCCAGCGTACTGCCTGGAGAGAAATTCCAGGCTGTGGCATAGGGAGGGAAAACCCCAGAGGATGCAAAGCATCCCTTTTTAGTAGTATACTGACAACTAATCAGCATATGCATGTGAGGAAAATACCCAGAGCTAGGACAAGAATGAAAAAAAGGATATGTGCCGTCAGTGCTATCATCCTAGGCATGCAAAAGAGCAGGAAAATATGACTGACAATGAAGTGATAAATCAATCCAACCTGATCCGCAACCAACACAGATGTTATAATTAGCAGACAAAGACATTAAATAGATATTTTAATTGCCTTCCATATGCTTAGAAAGTTAAGTAAAGACTTATGAGATATTTAAAAGACCCAAATCAAGCTCCTAGAAGTAAAAACTACAGTGTGTGTGATAAAGAATATCCTTGATGGGATCAATGACAGATTACACACTGCTGAATAAAATATTAGTGAACTTGAAGAAACAATAAAAATTATGAAAATGAAATAGAGATAAAAGAGAATTTTTTAAAATGAACAGAACATCAGTGAGCAATGGGACATCTTCAAGTGGCTTAATATACATTTAACTGGAATCCCCAAATTAGAGGAGAAAGTTGTGAGACAGAAAAATTATTTGAAGAAATAATAACCAAAATTGTTCTAAATTTGATGAAAACTAAAAACTCACAGATCGACAAAAGTTAATGAATCCCAAGTATAAGAAATATGGAGAAAACTATGCCAAGGCAAAAATCTAATCAGATTGTTCAAAATGATTTTTTCTGTGACAAAGAAAATCTTAAAAGCAGCCAGAGAAAAAGATACATAAAGTAGGAAAAAAATAAGGATGACAGCAGATTTCTTGTCAGGAGCACTTCAGGTGAGAAGACATTTGAGACCTGAAAAAAGTACTGAAAGAAATAAATCTGTCAAGTTAGGAATCTATACCCAGAAAAAATAGCTTTCAGAAATGAAAGCAAAATAAAGAATTATTCAGACATAGTAAAGCTAAAGGATTTCATCATTAATAGACCCACACTATGAGAAATGTCAAACAGTTATTTAGGAAGAAGGAAAATGAGACCAGATGGAACTATGGGTCTACCAAAGGAATGACGAGCGCTAGAAATGGTAACTACTTACATAAATATACAATATTTTTCTTGTTATTTAAATATCTTTAAAACATAACTGAGTGTTTAAACAAAAATAAAAACAATGCAGTTTGGAATTTAAAACATATATAAAAATAAAATGTATAATAGCAAATACACAAAGGTTGGGAGGGGAGAGATGGAAGTACTATTGTAAGGTATTGTAAGTATATTCTTATATTATATGTGAAGAGTTATAGAATCACTTGTTGGTAGACTATGATAAATTAAAGATGTTAGCAACCACTAGACATGAAAACAAAGAGCTATGGCAAATAAGGTAACAGAGGAAATAAAATGGAATCACAAGACTTCCAATTAATTACTCCAAAAGAAGACATAAAAAGAGGGGAAAGGGAACAAACAATACATGGGTCAAATATAAAACATGTAGTAAAATGTGGGTTTAAAACTAGTCATATACATAATCACATTAAATGTAAATGGTCTAAATAACCCCAAATAGAATGCAGAGACTGTCAGTTATTATCTAATTAAAAAAAAAAAAAAAAAGACAAGACCCTACCAAATGCTGTGGGCAGGAAACACATTTAAATACTTTAACTATAAAAATGCAAATAAGTTAAAAGTAAAAGGATAGAGTAAGATATACAGTCAATTCTCATTAGTCATAGTAGTTATGTTCTATAGTTTCCATGAACACTGAATTCGTGATACTGAACTATTGCTCCTAAGTGAAACATGCGTGTGCATGTCACATAGATTATAATCTTAAATACTGAAAACAAGTCATCCTAGTAGATCCTGTTTTCTTAATTTTACAAAAAAGAAATGAGGTTTGGAAGTGTTAAGTGACTTGCCCGAGGCCACCCCTCTATCAGGTGACAGAGTGAAGACTCAACCCCATTTAGCCTGCCCTAGTCCTGGAGTTCCTTGCACTGCATGGCCCTGCCCCCTCCTCCCTCTGTCCCTGGGCATTTCTATATGAGCTGAAATAAGAAAGCAGGGCATCATCTTGGTGCATCTCAGCTGGGAACATGTGCATTGGTGACAAAATATTTTACTCATCTGTGCATGTCTGAGAATGACTGCAAAAGCACCACAGGTATTGATCTGAGGGTTACAAATCAATTTTACTTAGTAGGTAAATTTGCAAATATGGAATCTGTGAATGACAAGGATTGGCTACAATGCTAATACTAATCAAAAGAAATCTGGATTTGTTATATTAATGTCAGACAGATATTAATATAGAATTCAGAACAAAGAATATCATTACTATTAATAATAAAAAAGTAATTTTTCAATGATAAAGGAAATATGTGCCTTTGGAGAAAAGAAAAATTACAGCAGGGCATGGGGGGTTGAGATTGCAGAGGGGCAGGTTGCACTGTTCAGTGGGTTTGTCGGGACATGCCTTTCAGAGAAGGTAACCTTTGAGCTGACTGGGAGCGGCTAAGAGGTCCAGCCATGCAGCTATCTGAAGGAAGGGCAGTCTGTAGAATTGTGGGCACGAAGTAAGTCTCTGAGCTGTGTGTATGAGGAACAGCCAGGGGGCCAGAGTGGCTGAGGGGAAGATAAAGGGGAGATATTAGGAGATGATGTTAGACCATGTGGCAGGCAGGCTTAGAACTTTCTGGAACACCCTCTCTTATTTTGCATGTGGTTTAGCAGGGGAATGTGGAAGTCACATGGAAGCTAGCCAGAGGTGGAGGTGAGCTGTGCAGAACCTCAGGCAGAACCGGAAGCAGCCCCTGTAGATACTTTCTGGGGCCCAAGTGTGATTGTCCCTCCCTAGCTGAGCCATCACTTCCTGTCCCAGGGCTGGTGGGCTGGGGTGAAGGAGAGTTCAGACAGCAGGGAAGAGGTAGATTAATGGCCCCAGGAGCACTGTCTAAGTCACAGATTACCTCGGGGTGATTAAATGACCCGGTGGTTTCATCGATCTGCATAATTGCCTAACCTGGTCTTCCTTTTGAAATGTGGAGCCACATTGTGTGAGGATCCAAACCCATCCCAAACCCTGAATAATTTTTTAAAACCATAAATCAGCCTTTATATATTTCACCTCCTAGAAACAAAGGACAAGGCCTGAGCCAGGAGAACCCAGGTCACTAGCTAGATGTGCAGGCTCCTCCCACACTCTGTCAGAAGGAAGGAGGCTGGATGGAGGTTCCTTGTACAGAGTTATTTCACAGGCGGGTGAGATGCCGGTCAGGTTTATGAGTGCGTGATCTATTGAAGGAATATTTGGGGCCTGAGAATATTGTTTCATTGCATGTATTGTTTTCCATGTTGCTGAAGCTATGAATGCCACAAATTCTGGTGCTAGAAAATAGCGACAGTGTGACCTGTAATCTTTCTCTGGTGTAACAAGGCCAAAACAACTGAAACTGAATTGTGGCGTGTTAAATGGGGCACTTAGTGTGAAGTGATGTCTGCTGCCATGAACTGTGTTTCCCGCTTTGGGTCAGATCAGCCCAGGCTAGGAGTCCTTGTCCCTCTGGTGTGGCTCATTCTCTCCCCCTATTTGTTTTGACAGTAATTAAGAGACAATTCTTCAAAATTATAGCACAAGCTGTAGCAGGATTAATTTTAACATGGTGCTGTGTTTAGAGGAAACTATCTTTTCAAGTGACAGATTTTTACAAATGTTCTGCCTTTCGAGTCCTAGCATCTTTAGGAAACATTTTGCCGGTAGCAAGCATTTTGGTGGATTCCTAGTTGGGAGGCTCCTGTTCTGTAAATCCAGAAACAGGCTTCGCTGTGCAGGTGGATTGCGTCGGGAGGCGGATGCTTCCCTCAAGGATGCAGCTGGGAGAAACTACAGCCGCTTTCTCCTGCGATCGCACCAGCTAAGCAGCCTGGGGCACTCAGCGCTAGCTCAGCCAAGTCAGTACCAAGTGTGAGAAACAAAGGACTGAGCCATTACAGTCCGAGGTCAAGACAGGTCCCGCTGTTGACAATGACCACCTTACCTGCTGTGGTGTCTCATAATTCAGGGGAAGCTTGGGGGCTTCCTCAAGGCTGTACTTCTTCTACAGGCCTTACTTTTATGAACATTTCAACAAGGGTGATTTAAAAAAATCTTCTGAGTGTTTTAGTTCATCACAGCATAAAAAACCAATTAGAAGACTTTACAGAAAACCAGGCCATGCGCTGGCATGCAGTGATCTGGCAACCGATGTTTCCGCTCCTCCTGAGCGAGGGCCGTTCTGCGCAGCCACAAGGCTTCGTGGAGACAGGGGTGCAGTCTCGGGAGTGCTCAGACGCAGTCTCTCTACCTGTGAAGGGTGCCCAAGTCTGGAGAGACTCGAGAGAGGCTCCCAGCACTGGGCAGATGAGTCTCAGGGAAAGAAAAAGTCCATTGTACTTGTGTGGCAGGTTGCAAACTAACCTTTCAACCCTGCTCTCTCTCTAACCCCGTGCCCCAGCTGCCCACTCCTCAGCTCAGGCTCAGGACCGACCGACCGCCACAGTGTCGCCCCTGCGCACCCAGAACTCCCCATCCCGCCTGCCCACCACCAGCCTCAGGCCTCACTCCATGGCGTCCCCGCAGCACATCCACCAGCCCCCGATGCAGACAGTCACTGGTGTCCAGTGTCCCCGGCCAGTCATCCCACTCACGTCAGCAGCATCGGCCATCACACCTCCCAACGTCAATGCAGCCAATCTCAATGGGGAAGTCGGAGGGGGGGCCATCAGTGGCCTGTCAACATCCAGCCCCACCAACACAGGATGCAGACCAGAGGAGAAGAAAAATGAAAAGGTAAGCGGCCCATCCAGGTGAGCCCTGGCCCTCACCCAGTGGGTTATTATAGCTCTTTGGCACCAGACACCAATGACGTTTTGTACAATCGAGGCTTGAATGTGGGCACAGAGTGAGTTCCTGTCCTCAGAGGCACCAGGCACATGACAGGCGTGGAGGCCAAACCAGCAAAGCAGTGGGTCCTTAAGGTGGCATTCAGGCAGGACTCAAGTCCTGGTAGGGTTAATCCGAGCCCAACTACAGTTTTCATGCAAATCAGAAAAAATGTGGCTCCTCCTCAGGAAACTTTAGCTCCATCTGTTAGAAAAATCATTGTAATAGACTCATTTTGTTAGAACAACATACTTACTGCCATGTGCCAGGGTATTATAATAACAAATATACAAATTTACTTATGTGCAGTGTGAACAGCACCCACTCCCTTTAATGTGTCATCCTTGTACAGTCCACAACCTGTTCAACCACATGGGAAAGGCCTGTTTTCTGAGGAGAAATGAGAAGAGGGTGCCAGCCTGATCGTTGGTGTGCAGAGCATTTTCAGCTATTCTTTTAACGGTGAAGGAAATTGAGCTTACTTCTCAAAAGAAATCTGAGCCCAGTGAGCTTGCCTTAGTGATCACCCAGCTAGACACCGGATTAGCCAAGATTAGAATCCAGATTTCTAAATCAATGCTGTCCAATAGAGCGATAAATCAAGCCCTATATCTAATTTAAAATCTTGAAGTAGCCACCGTTTTAAAAGTTAAAATAATTTAAAATTAAACTTAAAAGGTGAAATTCATTGTAATGGTCTAATTATTAAACTCAATATCCAAAAATATTATTTCAACATGTAATACATATATATATACATATATATTTTAAACGTGTTGATAGGATGTTTTACCTTTTTTCACATTCATTCTTTGAAAGCCAATGAAAAGGCCAGTGAGACAGCACCAGTGCTCAGGGGCCTCTACGCTGCCTGTGGCCCTATGGCCAGTGCGGGCCTAGAGCTTTAGCAAGGAACCAGTCTTTACTGGCCTTGCTGTATGAAAGGTTTACTCTCTTTCTCCAAGGGCTTTACCACATTCTGTGGTTCTTTTCATATAAAACCAGTCATTTGATTAGAGTGTGCTAGCCAGGGTTTGGGTGAGACCCTCAACACTAGATGACACAAAGTGAGGACAGCCTCTCCTCCCCATTGAGGATAACACCAAAAGCAGCGTTGACTGCTCAGTCCATCAGCACAGGATCCCCTAGAGGTACAGCCACCCACTCAGCAACCTGTGCTTGGCAGGAGTCCAGGACCCCCACAGAGATGCTCACACCAGACTCTCAGGGCCTCTGGACCAATTCTCAGGTCTCATTGCCACCTGTCTCATCTGGTCCAGAGGAATATTATTCCCATGTTAACTGGTGTGGAAGAGGTCCCAGTCACAGCCACTACTGCTGAACTGTCAGCTCGCAAAGCTCAGATCTCCTCGAGACCAACAAGGTACTGGAGTGTGAAGTGAAATGGTTGCTCATGTGTCCATGTCTGCTTGAAAATCACTTAGTTCTTGATCTGCCCTCTTCCACCTGCAGCTGTATTAGGAGATGTGACTGGGTCTTGTAGGGAGGCAGGGGTGGGGGTCAGGGGTGGGGTCTGGTCCCATCCTCTCGCTTGGACATTTTTCCTAGCAGACAAGATCCCCTAGGCCTCCAAGCTACTGAGAAAAAGCAAAGGAAAAGGAAGAGCCATGATAGCTCTGTAAACATTTCTGTTTTTTTGCCCCAAAATCCTGTCTTTCTAGTTTATAAAACAGAGAGGGCTGGCTTCAATGTGGCTCATTACTGAGTAGAGTCAGGTCTGTAGGAGTCTACGTGGAGAGTGATGTTGTTCACCATCTCTGCCCTCCTAAGTGCGTCACTAATGAAAACCAGCACTGCGTCCACCTGCATCATTCCCGGTCTGTTAGACACTTAGCAGATACTTTGCTTTCACTCAAGGCTTACTCTCTGCTAACAAGTGTCCTATATCGGCAAAGAATAGTTGAGTCCAGGGGACACCCAAAGTGTCCCTCTTGATGAAAATCATCTTGGAAGAAAGACCTGCTCCCAGATGGAAAGCAGCAGACACGTCGACTTAGCTCAGACCACTGCCCAGGTTGGGCCTGTCAGTGGAAATGCACAGGCTGACAGCAGCCTGTACCCAGCCATGCTGGGGTTGGACGCAGACCACTCATAGCACAGGGAGCAGTTTATGCTGTGCTCCCAGGAAGGAAGTGAAATGGACTTCGTGGGACTGAGTGAGCGTGTATCCGTAGGTACATCAGCAATCGTCAGCACCAAACCCCAGTAGACAAGTACATCATCTGTCCAAATGTTATGTGTAGTTTTTATTTCTCACCTTTCAAACAAAGCAAAAAAAAAAAAGCACTGGTCTAAAAAAAACACCTGTTAATGTTTTTCCCTTCTGTATTCCCGGTTGAGTTTTTCCTAATTTATAGTAAGATACACAATGTCCACAGTTGCTATTTCTAGCAGAAGTGCCGAGACGATGGTTGTTTAAATGCCGTTCCTCACAAGCAAGAGAACCTGTGTGGTGTGCCCTGAGCCAGCAGTCTGCGCCTTCCCCTGCCTTGTCATCACTACAACTGAGCAGATTTCCGAACCTTGAGAACACAGTGGTCAGCTTCAAATCTATTTCTGGGTAACCCATATAAATGTGCTCATGTCTGAGTATGGCAAAAAGGTTTTTTAAAGTAACTGGCAGTATTCTCCAGGGTGTTTCTGTTACTGACTTTTCTCCAAGGAAAACACAGTGAGCTCCCAGCCCTGATGTCCATGGAGACCCAAACCTCAGTGCCTTCATGTTTTCATAGTTCTGAGCTCTGCTGAAATTTGATCCAGGACCTTCCATGCATGTGCATGTGAGAGAAAGCCTTGACTAATGGGGCTGGCGGGGGGATGGCACCCAGACAGATTACAGTCAATGACTAGCAGTGGTGACATGCTCAGGAAGGATGGAGAAGCTCATGGCTATCTTGCAACCCTGACTATCTGACCATAAAGCCTTCCCTGGCCATCTAGCTAGAGATCACTTACTTACTCACATGTCTGTTTATTGTGATGAGCATGTGTATGAGCCAGGCAGAGTGCTGAACACTGGGGTCTATAGCAATGGAAGCTTCAGCCCTGGTCTGAGGGCCACAGAGTCTAGTACAGTGACGGGGACTGGTAAGCAGGCAACTGCAATATAGAATGTGACAGGTCTGGGGACGCGGCCAGTGGGGTGGGAAGGGTGCCTGGTCCAGGAACTGGGAGGGTTCCTGAAGGAGTTTCTGTCTGACAGGTGGGAGGACCTCCCAAGCTGAGGGAACAGCCTAAGCAGAGGCCAAAAGATGTGTCCAAGAGTGAGGAGCCCCTGAGCAGCTGGCAGGCAGCAAGGCAGCTCCTGAAGGGTTTCGTCAGCCATTGGTGCTCAGCAGTGGGAGTTGTCTGATGCTGGGCAGAGGGTGGAATCTAAGGCTGGGTCAGAGGATGCAGGCTGTGCTCCTGCCCTCCCCTGAGCTCTGAGCCCCTTGCTGCCTTTACTCTTCCTCTTCGGTTAACCATGCCCCACACTGTGGCTCTTCTACTGGGCCTGACTTCATGCAGTGCTCTCCTGCCGTTAATGTGCTCACAAGGCACTTACCCTTTCCTGTGACCTTGGCAGCAGCATCTTTCACACCATGTGTTTCAAAATGACCCATTCATGGGCCACAAATCAATTTAGTGTATCTGGACCAACATTTTTATTTAGATCGAATAGGCTACCTAGGATGAAATAGACTAGATCAGCCTGCATGGCACACAGTGACATCAGATATAGGAGGAAACAGTTGATTTTGAGTGTGCTGAGTCCTGCTATAAAACTTATTTGAAAGAAGTCTTAGCCCTGAAGAGTGCCTTGCTCAGAGCAGGCATCTAGTGATATTTATAGACTAAAGACAGTTGGAAAAACTGTTGCCAATGAGTTTTCACTGCCATGACTAATGAGAAAGTCTTTACTTTATGGATCCGAGGAAAGTTAACTTTCTGCTTAGGGGTGAGATAGTTTCAGTTTCATAGAATAATAGAATATTGGAACTAGAAAGAGCCACTAAAGATCTCATTAAACTTCTCATTTTCAGTGATGCTCCTGAGACTCAGAGAGGTTGAGAGCTTTGTCTGGGATCACACAGCATTGGCAGTGGAGCCAGCATAAGAATTCTGGTTCCCAGCTTGTATGTCACTGATATCTTGGCTTCAGTGTGCTGACTTGTGGTGGCCTCTTCAGTGCAGGTGTGTTTGGCTTGTTCAGGAGTCCCAAAGTGAGAAGTCCGGGGTAGCTGCTGGCAGGAGGCCTTGAGTTCAGCCCAGGAGAAGTGGGTGTGCCTGTAAGTGTCTGCCTTCTGGTTCTACATTGGATTCAACTGCAGCTGTAGCCCTGTGACAGTGAACCATTTGACCAAATCCACATGGATGGCATGACCTTTGTAATTAAGGCTTTGGGAAACTAGTTTGGTCTGAAAGGAATAGGAGACCTCACAGAATGACCCATGACAACAGTACGTTGGCCCTGCCCGTAGCAAGGATGTTATGGAAAATGTGTTTCCACTTGAACTTGTTCTTTATTATCTACATCTCACCCATTTAAAAGTGTGTGTGTGTATGTGTGTGTGTGTACGTGTGTATATACACTTGCATATGGTGATAGAATATATATATATAGATAGATAGATAGATAGATAGATATAGTAAATGATAAAAAGACACATATATAGGGTTATGATTATATTTTTAATGAAAACCCAGGAACGTACAATCTAAATAAATTTTGAGAATGAAGCTCTTTAGAACAACCAGGCAGCTTTTTCTAAGTGAAGAGTCATTGGTATATGAATTTATTTTCTCTCCCATTGGGGCTCACTGCAGTAAGCAAGCCTTTACTCCTGCTGTTTCGAAAATGCAGTCTGGGAAAGGGACTGCTTGTAGGCTCTGTAACCAGCATCTCA